CAATACTCACTCACACATAGGCAAAGCATGCATACACACACTTATACCACACGTATGCCAGACACAACAAGCAACACTCACAACATGCATAACACATACATCCTCCATGCCCTGCATGTGCACATGGACCCAGACACAGAAGCTCACATTCACACATACACACGCTTTGGCCACCATTTCCTTGCCTTGTTCCTATGCATCTCCCACCCACAGATGTCAGTGCCAACCCACTCCCACTATTGTTCCTCTACATCCTCCTTCAGAGTACGTACTATAATTTAAAACTCAGATATTCCTCTGTGGCATGATTTGGGTTAACATCCATCTTGCCCATTAGCCTGGAGATTCCACTCCAGGAGGCACTGTGTCTTATTTTTTTTGTTCACTTCTGCTTAATTTACACTGAGCAGGAAATACTTGCTGAATGAAGAATGAATGATGAAAGAGATCTAGCCTGAAAGTGTACAGCCATCTGCCATTTCACCACCTGGCAAGTCCCATTTGTGGTGGAACTTCAGAGCTCATGTGACCCATGAACTACCCATTCCAAATTAGTGCTTGGTGTGAGCTGATCTCATTGGCTTTATTCTGGGCCCCTGCATCCAGTTGTCACGAGACTTTCCACAAACACTGACACAGTGCCCTCCCACCTCCACCCTGCTCAGCTTTCCCTGGACTGAAACCTGTTTCCTTAGCTCATGGGAAGCAGTGCTTCACCCAGAAGCAGAAGGGAGGAAGCGTGAAAAACAAAAACCGGAAGTAAACACTAGCAGCCACAAGGAAGATTTTTTTTTTTTCTTCCCAAGACAATTCTGTCTTTATTTTTTAGACTAAACTCAGGAGATACAATTTCTGACACCCCTTGTTTTGTTTCCCCAATGATAAACAAAGATGCTTTACACTTCTGTTCCTTGCCCCCTGTCATTTGGTTATGACAATTTGCTTTGATAATCAACAGCTTTTGTGCACTGATGCATGTCCTGAGAAATTGTATGCCTTAACAAACACCTCCTTACAAATTGTTTACTATGTCAGATAGCTCATTATATTTTGACAGTAGCATTTCCTTTAAGACTGTAGAATCTTATTGGAACTCCTACTAAAATTGAGCTTCCAAGAGCTCTTTGTACTTGAATTTGCATGCCTCAGACATCAGATACCCATGGACCAGTCTTCAGACTTACCAACACAAGACTGAACTAGAGTTCAAGAATACTTCCTTATATGTGAATAATTGTAAGACACCTCATAGCATTAAAACTTAACTTGAGGGGCTAGGAATGTGGCTCAGCGGTAGAGTGCTTGCCTTGCATGCATGAGGCCCTGGGTTTGATTCCTCAGCACCACATAAGCAGAAAAAGCTGGAAGTGGCTCTGTGGTTCAAGTAGTAGAGGGCTCACCTTGAGCTGAAGAGCTGAGGGACAGCGCCCAGGCCCAGAGTTCAGAACCCATGGCCGACCAAAAAAAAACAAAAAAACTTAACTTGAAACATCAGATATTTGATTAAGCATCATTGAATAGCCTTTTGTCATGTACTGATGTGCAAGTTTATAAAACCAAAGAGCCAGTCAAAATACTACTAAATTGCCAGGTGCTAGTGGCTCATGCCTGTAATCCTAGCTACTCAGGAGGCTGAGATATGAGGATCGCCGAGGCAGGAAAGTCTGTGAGACTCTTATCTCCAATAAACCACTTGAAAACTGAAGTGGCACTGTGGCTCAAGCAGTAGAGCGCTCACCTTGAACTGAAGAGCTGAGGGACAGTGCCCAAGCCCAGAGTTCAAGCCCCATGACCGACCAAAAAATAAAAATAAATACTACTAAATTGATGATCTCACACTTCTTGGAAATAAAATAGCCTACACAAAGATTTTTCTTTCTTTCTTTGATGCTAATAACATTTACTCAGTTATTTCTAAGCTTCACAAGTGTGTTAGTACATTTGTTTTCGTAACAGTTCTGAGAGGAAGACACCATAATTATTTTCATTTTTGAAGTGGAGAGAAAGAAATTCAAATCATCACTCAAAGTCATATGGGCAGGGAAGAATGGAGGCAAAAAGTATGAGCCTAGAACCTATAATCCCAGAATTGTGACTTTCCCCTTGAGTCTCTCCAGCATATTTGTATGCACAAACCCAAGGTAAACTTCATAAGCACTGGGGAATCAGCTGCCAGGTACAGTATTTATATCTAAAGAGAATTCAGATTGAAGTTTTCAGAGGATCCTAGAAAGTGACTTAGTTTCCATACAAGAAATGCTTGCCACCAGCTTGGCTCAGTGATAAGACCACCTGTCTTACAAGCATAAGACTCAATTCAAATCCCAACAGCACCAAAAATACATAGATAAATAGATGATAGGCACACTGACAGACAGACAGACAGACAGATGGTGGGTACATCTCAGTCCCCTGACCTTCTCCTTTCATAAGTGACACATTGCATTTAGTCATGTGACACATGGACAGCCTGCTCTTGAGTGGTCATGCTCATGTTGTGTTGGAGGAGCTGGCCCCATCTGAATGCTATCCTGGAGATCTGATTGTCACTGAGTGGTCAAGGAAATTGTCAAAAAAGGGGAGGGAGAAGTAAATTCAAAGAGGCCTGAAGCAAGCAGATAAGGCTAGAGGGACCCTGAGAAGTCACAAGCAACAAGTAAAAGAATTTTTTTTTTAATCCACACAAAGCTGGGTGCAGGTGGCTCATACCTGTAATCCTAGCTACTCAGGAGGTTGAGATCTGAGGATCTCAGTTCAAAGCCAGCCCAGGCAAGAAACTCCACGAGACTCTTATCTCCAATAAACCAGAAAACCAGAAAGTGAGCTGAAGAGCTGAGGGACAGAGCCCAGGCCCAGAATTCAAGCCCCATGACTGACAAAAAACAAACAAAAAATCCACACAAAACCCAGCATATTTACTGAGAGAGGAGAGATTCCTAGACCATTTCAATGAGATGAATTTACAGCCACAGCTCCATCTTACCTGCATCTTTACTGGCCTGTGTTGTCTATCTGAAGCCTCTTGTGTGAACTGGAGGCTAAGGACAGAGACTGGTGTTGCCCATTGCACTGGCTTCTCCTTACACTCCACTTCCCCCCAATGTCCTCTATTTCCTCACTGTGCAAGAGGGTGACACAAATGGCAATGGCACTAAGAGTGGCCCCTCTGGACAGCAGGAGTTGAGGGCAGAGGCCATCAGCGCTGAGCCCAGGACCCATGTCTGCACTTCTCCTGGTAGTGAGGGAAAAGCCGCACTGCAGAGAAGAAGCTTGAGCCTGCCAAAAGTGCCGCCGGAATTAATGAGAGGCAGAGGGAGAGCACCAGATGTTGAGAATTAGCCTGACTGTAAACAAATTCATTCCCATAGATCCACCAAGCTGGCTTTGAAAAATCATTTTTGTATCTGGTAAACAAACTCCTATTCTCTTTTCCTAGTTGCAAATGGACTAATTCTTTAGGGAATGATAATACTCAATAATAACAACTTGGCTGGTTTTTTTTTTTCCTCCCCCAAAATTGCATAATTCACATAGCGACATGATTTACACAATTGGTAGTTTTGAAAACTTGGGAATTAAATAGCAACACCACCATATGCAATTTGTTTTCCAGTCTGGCTCTATACATACCTGCCACTTAATTTTTTTGGAAGGAGAGGGTTGGGGGTTGGTATCAGCCTCCAGATGTTCCGTCTATCACCTCGTGACTTGAGGAGGGTGATTCCTGTCCTGGGGTAAGTGAGGTCTGGGCTGGCTGCTCCTGAGGAACAAAGCATTCATACTTGGTTGCAGCACTCATCTGCGTTTACACCTGACATCCTCCCCCTAGGCAGGTGACACTCAGAAATTCCACTTAACTGTTCCCATCACCTCAGTGCCAGTAAGCGGAAACTGATATCTTGAGCTAATCTGGAACCCATACTTTAACCCTTCCTCCCATCTCCACTGCACATTTGTGCCACAGTCAGTATAGCGTTACTCTAACATGCACAAACCAGTACAGAGCAAGTTCAAAGACTCCTTTTCATAGGCCATCATATGCATGCCCTTCTGGTGGCCTCCCATCCTACCCAAAAGAAGTGTCTTTCTTTTGACCCTTCATAGTCCATGTATCTTTGGAATCTAGTGCTAGGATTTAGAATAAAGAAAGATAGAAAAGCCAGGTGTTGATGTAATCCTGTATGCCTATAATCTTAACTACTCAAGAGGCTGAGCTTTGTGGTTGTCATTCAAAGCCAGCTGGGCAGAAATGTCTGTGAGACTCTTGGAAGTGGAGCTGTGGATCAAGTGGTAGAGGGCCGGCCTTGAGCAGAAAAGCTAAGGGACAGTGCCCAAGCCACGAATTCAACTCTAGTACTGGCATAATAAGACAAAGAAAGATAGAAGGAGGGGAGGAAGGAAAAAAGGAAAGAAGGAGTTGGAGAGAGGGGAAAGGAAAAGGAAGGAAAGAAGGAAGGAAGGGAGGGAGGGAGGGAGGGAGGGAGGAAAAGAAAGAAAGAAAGGAAGAGAAGAAAGAAAAAAGAAGAAAGGAAGGAAAGAAGAAAGACAAGAGGGGGCAAGATGGAAGATAGGAAAGGAAGGAAGGAAGATGGAAGGAAGGAAGGAAAGAAGGAAGGAAGGGAGGGAGGGAGGGAGGGAGGGAGAGAAGGATGGGCTGAGGAAGGGAGGGAGAGGGAGGGAGGGAGGGAGGGAAGAGAGTGGGGGAGAGGGTGGGAGAGAGGGAAGGAGAGAGGATTGAGGAAGGAAGAAAGCCTGTATGAATGTTCTCTGCTTGAGTCAAGCCAACCTTAATATTTTATAGTATTAATTCATTCCTCCCCAACACACACACACACACACACACACACACACACACACACACACGCATGCACGCACACACACGTGCACACACACATACACAATCTTTTTCCTTCATAGATAAAGAGAAGTTGTAAAATGGACAATGCTATTGTCACAAGTTACTTCTAACAATTCCACACCCCAAATGTCCTATCTTACAGGGCCGTTGTTCAAGAGAGAACTGCAAGTATCTTCACCCGCCGACACACTTAAAAACTCAACTAGAAATTAATGGGAGGAACAACTTGATCCAGCAAAAAACTGCAGCTGCGATGCTCGCCCAGCAGATGCAATTTATGTTTCCAGGAACTCCGCTTCATCCTGTGGTGAGTTCGTCTTCCCTAATGGTGGCCGGCTGCATGACGCATTGGGACAGACATTGCCTCCATAACCTAAGACAGCCTCCCTGGACTTTGTCATTTTGCTTACAGTAAAGAGCTTTGATGCTCTGTAGATACCGAAAAAGAGCTTTAAAAAAATTAAATGGAAAGATGGTGTGTGTGGGAATAAGGAGCAAAGACAATCTCAAATCAATATCTCGGAAAGCAGCCTTTCTCATCAGTAAACTCGGCCTCTGAGCCATCTTAGAATAGAAATGGCTCCACCATTTTATTTGGAGCGTGGCTTGATAGGCTATGGATTGAAGAGGTGGTGATGCCTCAATTATCCAGCAGTGTAGCACCAAATTGGATGGTATCATTTTTAGGATGGAGAACGTGCGAAACCAGAGGAGATGACTGAGCTCTCCAATATCACACAGCTCAAGTTGTGTTGCAGGGCCTTGAACTTACCCAGGAGCTGGGGAGATAGATTTTCCCTGTTCTCCTAGGCCAGACAACAGCTGGGTAAGATGGAGCCTGTCTCTCTCCCAGGTCTGGAAAAGGCATAGCAGCCGTGACAAAGACCACAGAATAAATGCCCAAGGGAGTTTAAGTATATGAATATATATTGGGTAATATTTTTCTCCCTGATTTCAGTGTTTGAGGGTACTTCCTTCAAGGTCTAGAAATTGCTTTAAGAATGAAGCCCCGAGGGAAGGCGTGCATTTGACTTTAGTGGGTTTCACTTACATTGGTGAATTATTTGCACAAAAACAAGCTAAAAAAAAATCAAGTCAAGGGAACGAATTTGCTTTAAAAAAAAAATACAAGCACAAAAGGCTATTGTAGAAAAATCAGCCTTCATTGTAGGAAAATCTATGTGACTGAAAGCTGTTAAATTAAAACAGATAGCTACCAGTGAGTTCCATTTTCTTATTATGTCCTTGTGAGATGGACTGGGGAGAGCGTAGGGGTGGCCAAGAAGAGAGAGAGCAGGTTGTTAGCAATTCTGCATGTCTCCAGAGTTCTGCGAAAAGTAGCCAGAGTGAAAAAGGCTGGGGGCAAGGAACTCTGAGGTAAGTCAGACACAGCCTTTGAGGAGAGACAGATACATGGAAAGGCCATGTCAGGCCCAGAGGATGAGTTTGGATGAAGAAAGGTAACCTAAAGGAAGGTAGTCTCAAATAAATGCATCCTGGACCAGTATTAAGAGCTAGCCCAGGTGTTCAGACTTACTGAAAATAGATTAGTCTTCTGAACACATTTAAACTAGGCATTCAAGTACTTCTACTTAAAACTACACACATGTATAATTTATAATTCTTTTTGATGCGCACCTAATAAAGCCTCTTATTAATTTCCCAAAATGCTAAACTAATATCCTTGTATATACTAAGTAACATGTATGGAAATCAATTCAGAGCAAGCTCAACACTATGCATCTCACCTGTTTGAATACTGTACTTCCGGTTTATTTAGAATTAGTCAGAATTGACCCTGGTATGAGATGAGGACAGTGTTAACGTGAAAATTCCATCAACTCTTGATTGAACTTGTTTTGAAAGCTGGTTTATGTATAGGCCCCAAATATTAATTAGGAGTTAATGACAATTTCTCTATGAAAAGGGAATGCTGTGTGTTAGTAGTCCAGGAGAGTTGGTTTTTTTTAAGTCACAAGAAGTATTCAAATACGAAGTGCGACAAGTCAAAAGCAATCAAGTCTAACAACAAATCATTTCAGAGCTTCAGAAGTGAGTTAGTGTTCTAGAACAAAGTAGTTGGCTGATGCTCAGAGGTGCCTGGACCCCACAGGAAGTCACCTCTTACAAAAACAGGGTCTTGGCAGATAAGATGTAGCATCTTAGATGGTGAGATCCTGCTGGCTGAAGTATAATTACAAGTCTCTTCAGAAGAGAGAGACAGAGGAGATTTGACACAGGCAGAAGAGGAAAAACTTAATGTGTTCATAGAGCTAGAGACAGGAGGGCTGTAGACACAGCCATGGAAAATCAGCAGCTACCCGAAGAGAGAGGAGACTGGAATGGCAGATTCTACCATAGAGCTTCCAGAGTGAGCAAGATCTGTTAACACTTTGATTCGGACCCAACAAAACTGATTATAGACTTCTGGCCTCCAGAACTACAGAAGAATAACTTCACTTGTTCTCAGCCATCACATTTATGGTCATTTTTTTAATGGCAGTCACAAGCAAGTTATAGATGTAGAAATTACTTAAATCAATTTCATTGACACACAGGGAATATGAGGTCATCTTCTTTAAAGCACTAGGGTATTTCTCCCATTCCCTCTACGGACCCCTAAACTCATCTGCTAGCATCTCTCCCCCTAGTCCTCTATGCAACTCAACTGCTGGCTGTACTCTGAATGTTTGTGTCATATGTTGAAGTCCAACCTGGCAGGGATAATATGACAAGTGGAAGAGAGGCCTTTGCGAGGCGAATGGGGTCAGGAGGATGGATTCCTCATAAATGCGATTAGCACCTTTAGAAGAAGAGAAGACACAGCCAGAGAGAGACATCATGGGTGCCAGGGACTCAGCCTTCACTGCACATTTACTCTGCCCAGGCCTTCCTTCATCTTCGATTTCCCAGCAGCCTTTACAACTGTAATGTATGCATTTCAGTTGTTTTAAAACTATAGAGTTGATGGCATTTTTCCCCCCATCACAGCCCAGATTAATGAGCACATTCGGTCAGATCTCTTGGTGGTCCCCAGCACGTGTCAGAGCTTTCTCCTGTTTAACAGGAGAAACTTCCTCTCTGCCTGCTTCCTTCTCTATCTCTTTCATTCATCTCTGATTCCCAGACTGAATATTTCTTCCTGGTTACCCTCTTATTGGTGGCCTAATGGGCTGAGAAGCCCCGCCTACTCTTCCCACAAATGTATATTTCCAGTCCAAACTTGTGTTCTGAGCCCTGGAATCATAGATGCCATGTCCCTCCTGAACTTACCTTTAAATTTCATATAAAAAGTGGATGTGTTCAAAACCCAACTCCTCGGTCCACTACATTCCCACTTCAGTAAACAGTATCCTCAACCCACAGTCTCCAACAAAAACCTAGCAGACTTGCCCACACTCTGAGACAGAAAATTCATTAGCAAGCCCCGCACACCTGCCTTCTAAGCCATCCGCTTCTTCTCCCCTTGCTAGCAAGCACACTCCTGTGAACCATCTCCAGGTTGTTGTTGTTTTTTCCCCAAACAACTTTATAAGCATCTCTTTTCTAATATCTTGCTTTCTGCTCTCATCTGACCCCAGTAACTCCTTACATACATCAACCAGAGGAGTCTTTTTAAAACATCAGTAAGACTCCATTACCCATTACTTAAGGCCCTTTCACTGGTTTGCTCCTTGCTACTGGAACAAAACCTAAACCCCTCAGCTCAGCTGTCACCCACAGTGTCTTCTCTGTGCTGGTCCCTGCCCAGTTCTGATGTCCCCAGACCTGCAGATATAAGGTACTGGAGAAAGGAGAGAAGAGCATGGGGTCCTGGGGAGAGAAGCAGAGGAATGTGTTCTGAAGGACAGCATGAGGCAGGAGCAGGACCAGCATTTCTGAAGTGATTTTCTTCAAGAGTTTTGTCCTCTGGCCTCTTCAGCCTGGGAGTGAGCACCGAGAGAGGACAGGCACCAGATGATTGCTGTCTCTCCTCACTTGGTAGCTGCACTCTGCACAAACTGCAGCCTCATCCTCCTGACTGCTGCGGGTGCTTCCAAGAAGGAAGTCCTCTGCAGGGACCTTCTCGTTCCTCAGTAGCTGCAACAGAAAGGAGGCTCCATGTATACCAGGAGATGCTGTGGGCCCAGACTCTCTCTCAGTAGATTCATTTTAATCCAGGATCCAAGAGCCACTTTTTCCAATAAGCAGCACATGGCTGCTCAGAACTGTCCACATTGCATACCTATATAGAAGGCTCAAGCTGGTTATGGAATATGGTTTTTCAATATACATTTTTCTTTAATTTTTTTTTTTAAAAATGAGGGATGTGTGTGTGTGTGTGTGTGTGTGTGTGTGTGTGTGCGCGCGCGCGCACGCGCGCCAACCAGTACAGGAACTGAATTCAAAAGCCTTGGCACTGTCCTTTAGCTTTTTCACTCAAATCTAGCACTCTACCACTTGAGCCACAGGTGGATAAGGGTCTCATGAACTTCCCTGCCCAAGCTGGCTTGGAACCGCAATCTTCAGATCTCAGCCTTCTATGTAGCTAGGATGATAGGTATATGCCACCTATGCCCAGCTGAGTATACACTTTAAAAGCATGCAGGCTACTGATATATTTAGGGGAGGGTTCTAAGAAATTATCCACAAAATTCATGTCATGAAGAAGAGTAGCTATAGTCTGAGACCTGAAGGCAAAAGTCAGGATGTTTTTCTTGGATATAACATCCTTTCAGAATCTGCTGGCTTAACCTATTCTTACTCGTGAGTCTAAAATCCCTGCTGCATTAGGAGTGTATAACTGCAAGAAAATTTTAAAAATGGACATGTAAGGATTGGCTCTTTCCTATAGCTATTTAGTTCAGTAATTCATCTCTGAGTTAAATAACCTGCTTAATACAGGTATGTGATTTTTAATACCTACATTCACTCCTCATTTGTAACAGCGGTTGTCAAATTTGGTCACACATTACTCCACATAGTAATTTTTTTTTACTAAGAATGTCAAAGTTCCTTCCTAGACTTGTTGTATAAGAATGCATCTCTGAAAGTCCCTCTTAGGTATTTTTGACATGGCTGTTCCATTAAATAATGAATATGTTGTGAATTATGGCCCTTCTGAACTTTGTGTATGTGTGTGTGCACGCACACGCGCACACACACACACACACACACACACACACACACACATACACACACACACACACACACACACACACACACACACACACACACCAGTTCTGGGGCTTAAATTCAAGGCCTGGGCACTGTCCCTGGGGTTTGTTTTTCCTTGTGGTTAACGCTCTACCACTTGAGCCGCAGTTCCACTTCTGGCTTTTTTCATAGTTTATTGGAGATAAGAGTCCCATGCACTTCCCTAACCAGGCTGTCTTTGAGCTGATTCTCAGATCTCAGTTTCCTGAGTAGTTAGGATTACAGGTATGAAGCATTGGTGCCCAGCTGAATTTATTTTTTTTAACTCAAACATTACATAGTCCTTATACTATTAAATCATGTGTTTTTTTTTTCAGTAAGACTAAATTATAAAAGCTAACGTTACTGAAAAGCTGCAATTTTCTATAATTATGACTGAAATAGGTAACATACATATATAAAATTTTTTGGCAAGTCAAGGGGGAAAAAAGAAGAAAATCCTAACTGCTATCCATTTCTCAGGTTGAGACCATAGGCTGAGACTTTCTCCCAAAGCCAACTTATGGCTGAGCTGTGAAGGTGTAGGAGTTTCTCACAGGAGGACTTGAAGGAGACCTTCTAAGGCTAGTTGAATATCCTCTGAGCTCTCAGCCAGCGCAGTGGACTTACCAGCCTCCCTGGGAACTCCCGGCACAAATTAGCAACTATTTACTATTTTCTGACATGACCGTTTAAAAGAAATACTCTTTCTTTTCTGTTAATGTTGTATTGAAAAATGTGTTTGTAAAACATAGTGTGTCATTTTTTCCCACATATTAAACAACTCCTTCCCTGTCATAAATAGACAAGAATCATGTTACCCAAGATAGATAAGTACAGACAACTATGACACAAGCAGGCAATGTAGCCCAGAGTTAGAAAAATGCATGGACATATGATCACAAATATTTGAAAACTCATCCTAAAAATAAACAGTTTAAAAGGTTCATAAATAAAAGCCAACCGAACAAACAGGAGGATTTAGGCCCAATTCACTGTAAAATATCTCCTGACAAAAGTCTTTAGGATCATAATTGTTTTTAAAATCGTGACTCTTGAAAAAGTTGAAATAAGAAATTAGGTTCATAATTTCTGAAAGACAAACAAGTTACATATTTGTAAGTGGAGCTTTAAAAATGATTATGCTATTGACCTACTAGAATATTTCTTCTTATCCCAAGACAAAGTATATAGTGATAAAAGAATATATTTGGGGTTTTGGTTTTGGTTTTTTGTTCAGGGAATTTTATTTTTTTGTCAGTATTCAGTTTGAATTCAGACCTCTACCATTTGAGATTTGAGCCAAATGGTGGTTTATTTATTTTTCAGATAGTATCTCACACTTTTGCCTGGAACTAGACTTGATAATTCCAAGTGTGCCTCATCTGGCTTTTTTTCTTTTTCTTTTTTCTTTTTTTGCTTAGGCTGGCCTTGAACCATGAACCTCCAAGGTAGCTGTGATTACTAATTACTCTCTGACCTTTTATCTTTTTAATAATGCCTTATTATCTTTAAAGTAGTTGTACAAAGGGATTACTGTTCAACTCTTCTTCTCCTTTTGTGGTACTGGGGGATTAAAGCTCAGACAAGTAGGCAAGTTCCACCACTTGAGCCATAGCCCCAGTCCTGAGACTGTGTTTAGTAAGCACTATCTGCTCTTGTCACTGCTTTGTTGATTTTGTGACCTAGGAAGGCAAGCCCATTTTTAATAGTCAATGGAGATATTGTGCAGGATTTCAAGCTCTTTCACCCAACCTTTCAAGAAGGGAAGTTTGAATTAAGGCATGGTTGAGCTACAGCAAACTGTAGTATACTGGTCTAAAGCTGCACCTGAATTTTGGAAATATTCCAAATGGAAGATGAAATATACTGGTAAGTCTGAACTCAGTGAAATCCCACAAGAGCTCCACTTTTTTTTAAACTGGGTAAACGTGCTTACCTGGAAAACAAGGATTTTGTTTCTTTTTCTCCCTTTGAGAGATCTGTAGGAGAAATAAAACTCTGGATCCCAAAGATCTTCTGTGAAAACATTCAATTGTTTGGAAGGATGAGTACTTAGAGTGGAAATTATTTTCTTTCCTGACAACATAAATTTAACTGGTCCCTTCTAAGTTGGTGTCTCTGATATTCTCCTATATTTTTGTGTTGTTTGGGAAAGAGAGACTCTGTGTTTTTCAGTTTTCTTAAGTAAAACCGAAAGGAAGTAATTTTTAATGAATTTTTACAATGCCATCCTGGATTCTGGATTCTGCTGCTCACACAGAGTATCATATGTGATAAATAAATTTTGCTCAAATGACACTTGCTAACAGCTTTCATTTTTTTGCTCAAATTATAATACTTGCTGGTAATATTTTGTTATAATACTTGCTGGTAATATTTTGTAAGTGTTGTTCTATTGAATCTGTTTCCTGTGTTGTCTTCCTTTAACAGCCCACTTTTCCTGTAGGTCCCGCCATAGGGACAAATACGGCTATTAGCTTTGCTCCTTACTTAGCACCTGTCACCCCTGGAGTTGGGTTGGTCCCAACAGAAATTCTGCCCACCACACCTGTCATCGTTCCCGGAAGTCCACCCGTCACTGTCCCGGGCTCAACTGCAACTCAGAAACTTCTCAGGACTGACAAACTGGAGGTACTTGAACTGTGTTTGTGCTTTGAGATGCATTTGTGGTAGAAGAAAACATCTGGGTCAATGAATGCTTGTGAGATCATTGAGTTCTGCAAAAAAGACCGCACACACACACACACACACACACACACACACTCATACACACACATCCAGAACCCATGCATTCATAATTCTGTGGTCTGAAATTAATGCCAAGGACAAAGGGAATTATGTGGGAAAAAGAATAACTTTAACACAAACAAAAATCATCTGCATAGAGTATATGTTTAAGGGCAAAATAGTGTCAACCAAGAGACTATTGAATCCATCTCAATGCAAATTACAGAGATCAATGCAAATTATACTCTCCTGTTATGTCCAGCAATAACCTTTTCTGAATCTTGGAAAGTTCTAGAAGTAGTCAGGTACCCAGCAATTAGGGCAATGGGAGATACTCAGAGACAATCCAGTTGGTCTGGTCCTGTGTCAGTGCTTTAAGACCATGTGTGGTTGTTATTGAATGTTCAAGAACACCTGGCTTGAAGGTTTTACTGAGAATTGAAGGAAGTGGGTGCTAGAGGGAGAAGGGGGGGGGGGGGATAGGTAAAGTTAGCTATTGATAGAGATGTCTAATTTCACTTAAAATCAAGTGTTCTATAAAACTCAATGTAACAAGTTGACATATTTATAAAATACAAATTCTGAAGTTGTAAATCACGACAACCTTTCTGTACTTCATTGAGTAAAATTTCTCCTGAAACAAAGCTAGAGACTTGGTCTATTAACCCTACTCTGGTTATCACTCTGATAGTCCAGCAGAGCATTTTATAAGGTTGTGTAAAGATTCTGATAGGTTTTTCAAAGCTATCCTTTCATTCCCTTACTGATTAGAGTAACTAGGTAACCTTGTATACTGAGAACATTGGGTCATTGGAGAATATTCTTTCAGTGTACATTTGTTTAAATATTAACCCAGAAAACCTGGAGGGCTACAAAATGTTTGCTACCTAACAACCTGTGAATGTTTTAGAATTCAGAATAGAACTGTAAATAGTTTAAAAGATATGTGTTTTCTTTTATAACTCAGCTTCAATCTAGAACCTCTATATCCTTGAGTGAAGAGAATGTAAATTCTACCGTTTCAGAGACACAAAGCCTGTCCCTGTGAATATTGGCAGATCGGCTTGCTAGGGGACTGCACATGTTTTGGGCTCCACCTGCTGGGGCCTACTGATCTTTAGCACTCAGGATGGGGCTGTTTCAGAAAACAGATTAGATCAGAAGAGTTGGGACAATTCGTCCTTCCCACAGTAGACAAAGGCACATGTAAAAGTGAATTCACATGGACTGTAACAGAACAGTTTTTGGTCCATTTCAATCCAGGAATGAAGTCAACTGCAGTCAGAAACTGACTACACTTTTTTCTGTTGTCCTAGGCAGGAGTGATTACCTTTGCAGAGAAAGGCTTATTCTGAATCTGTGCAAAGAGCTGAGTAAATTCCACTTCATACAGTTTATAAACTCAAGATGGAACGTTAGCTAATTTCCAAAGTAGGATGAAATAATTCACAGCTTTGCAACCTTTCACAACCCAACTCACAACTTTTAAACCATCGGTTTACCTTTCAACTTCCCTTAGCCATTGGTCAGTGAGGGAAACACTGTGTTCCTAAGTATGTTTGACTTTCACAAGACTCAAACCTCGTTTGACCTTTCATTTAACGTCACTGGTGATCCACCTGTGTGCTGGAAAATTGAAGACGAAAAGGAATTCACTTACAATCCTATTAACCAATCACCCTGCGGATGATATTTGTAAGCAGGCAAGAATTACGTAAGCCACATACAACATGTCTTTATTTCAGGTTATTTATAGTTGAAGCATTATTAAGAAAACTTCAGATTATAAACATTTATTCTTTCTATAGTAAAACTTTGGCCAAACCATCATTCACAAAGGATAATTTAATTTACCTGAGATTGCAGAATTATAAAGAACTTAAAAATCAACATTTTACCTATTTCCTATTTCTCTCTGTCTAGTTTTGACCCTTTTTCTGCTTCTGTACTTTTCTCCATTAAAAATAATAGTAAGTAGAGCACTAATTTTGAATAGAAAACTCAGAGACAGCACCTACGCTCAGAGTTCAAGCCTTGCAACTGACAAAAAACTTATCTTTCTTTGGAGCTATCAAAAATATTAATGAAGTGACTTTAAAGTGAACCTTTTGGTGTCTAGTTACTGTGTTGGTGATTGCAGGTATAAGTTTTCTTTGAAGACAGGGGAGATGTTCCAAGAACCAGAATTGGTCAGGTTCACAGGCCCAATCACCAATCATGGTCCTGACAGATGAGCAAGCATATCATTCCTGAAACATGTTGGAAAAAAGCTCTGTGACAGCGCTATCAAACTATCTATGATGATAGATAATGGGAAAAGTGATCTGTCCACAGATATAGATATATATGTATATAGAGATAATATATACATGTTGTATAGACAGCTAGATGTATAGACAGATGATTTCTGCCCAAAGATAGAAGATATTCATATATGTATATATAGCTATATGATATATAGATGATATATAATGTGATACGTCATCTATCTATGGATAGACCTATTAGGTAGATGGATGGATGGATGGATAGGTAGTAGATAGATAGATAGCTAGATAGATAGATAAATAGACAAAGTAGATGGATCTCCAGCCCCAATCCTGGTAAGTTACCTAAGGATATATAAATCCAGACATATGGAACCACAGACGATAGAGACTGTTGATTTCTGTTGTCATTCTTAATTTTGGCTAAAACTGCACATGGCCCCCGTTACTTTCTTAACTTTTTTAGAAAAAGAGAGGAAGGTCAGCTTAGACTTAGCACCTCGTGTCTTGGCTTGTGGGTAATGACTATGCTATCCAGGAGAGCACCAAAGCCCACCTGCCTGGGAGCTGTGGGCCCATGTCCGTTCCTCCCTACCCCTGTGCAGGTGGTCACGGTGACCGGCAGGGGGAGGGGGACCAGGCCTGACCCAGGCCCCCTGCACCCTCCTCTCTTTCTCTCTCTGTTTCTCTGTCTCCTGTCTCTCTTTGTCTCTATCTCTCTCTGTCTCTGTGTCTCTGTCTCTGTCTCTCTCTGTCTCTGTGTCTCTGTCTCTGTCTCTGTCTCTCTGTCTCTGTCTCTGTCTCTGTGTGTCTCTGTGTCTCTCTGTCTTTCTATCTCTCTGTCTCTCTCTCTTCTCCTGGCCCTACCCCGCACGCATCACCACCGTGGCTTCTCCTCCTTGTCCCAGGTATGCAGGGAGTTCCAGCGAGGCAACTGTGCCCGGGGAGAGACGGACTGCCGCTTTGCACACCCCGCCGACAGCACCATGATTGACACGAACGACAACACCGTAACCGTTTGTATGGATTACATAAAGGGGCGTTGCATGAGGGAGAAATGCAAATATTTTCACCCTCCTGCACACTTGCAGGCCAAAATCAAAGCTGCGCAGCACCAAGCCAACCAAGCCGCGGTGGCCGCCCAGGCAGCCGCGGCCGCGGCCACCGTCATGGTAAGTGCGCGCGGGGTGGACCCCGATCGCCCGCACCCCGCACCCCCACGCGCCCCGGGCCGGGGTGGGGAGGGGATGGCTGCTTCGGGGTGCGACTTAGGTGCTCCCGGCTCAGCTGGGAGACGAGGCTGCTCTACGCCCCCCCCCACCCCGCACTCCGCTGCCTAAGTTTTGTTGTTGTTGCCCCCTTTTTAGTTGTTCTCTTCCTTCCCTCCCTTCTGAGGCACAATAAGTAAATCCCTATGCGGTCCTGCAGCCCCGCACCGCGGCCTGCCCCGCGGGTGCTTGGCCCTGTCTCCCCGCAGAGGAAGGCTCTGAAATCTGGATTTAAAAAAAAAATTATTTTTATATATATATATATATGGGGTTTTTTTTCTTTTAAAAAAGTTTTACTCCCTTTTGATCAAACTTTTTTTACTGTCTTTTTTCTTTAACAAGAGTTTTTAATCGTCTGTAAGCAATTGCACACACAAAATTCGACCTGTGCGAGTCATGGACATCCTGACCGTTAGCACCCCCTTCCTTCTGTGGGAAGCCTTGTAACAGGTGGAGCTGTCTCGCCCTCCTCTTCCCCCACCCCCCACCCTCAAAATGCTGCCTAGCAAGTGAGGGAGTCAGGAAAATCTGGCACCTTCTAGTGTCTCTACCTCCTCTCCTTCTGTATACCACCACAGCAGGGCTGATCCAACTCCTCCCTCCTGTGATATCGTACATGGAAAGGCAATGCATGCAGCAGATTAAAAATAGAAGTGGACTGGGGAGGTGCTTTAAAAAAAAAAAAATAGACCTGGAAGCCAGCCTCCCCTCCTCCACTTTCCTTACTGCTTACTGTCCCTCTGAGGCTGGCAGCAACTCCGTTAGGGTCACAGGCCCTGATGCCACTAGGGAGTCACCAAGGAGACTGGCTCCTTGGACTCTAAGGCTTCGAGGGTCTTCTCTAGCTAGATCTGTGAGATCAGAATTCAAATAGTTTTGTACATGTCAGAGAGGCTCATGTGTCCAAACTCTCCGTCTCCATGTCGGCAAGACTTTAGAATGAAGGAAAAGGTTTGGAAAGGGTCTCGCGTTGATTCCCTCACCCCTTCATTGAAGGCATTTAGAGGGGTTCACCATGGATCAGCACCCACTGGATAGGTTAAATAAGTCAATGAGGACTCAGGGTTGGCTAGGTGACATGCGATGCCCCAGGTAATAGGATGGAAGTACAGAGTAGGCCCGAGAAGGAACCCGAAGTCTCAGCAGCCACTCCTCCCTGGGAACAGAGAAAGATAGAGCCTTAGAAATGAAAAGTACCGTTTGTGAACACATTGTTCTCATTAATGACCCCACTTCAGATGCAGACCACTGTCTCAAGTGGAAGGGAAGCTATCATATTCACAAGCTCATCACACACACACACACACACACACACACACACACACACAACTACAAGAGATAGGGCTGCAGAGAGAACAGCACAGACTGCCCAATGTGACCTGGTGTGTTATACTGAGCTTTCCAATCTGAGCTCATCTCCCAATAGTTTAAGAATCGAACCCTTTGCCTATCCCCATTTTGTTATTGTTTTAAGCTTAGAGATCTTGGCTCTTCAGTGTTCTGTTACTGTCTATGTGGACAATATACACTCACACAAGAGTATCAGAGAAGAAAAAAATAAAAGAAAGTCTCCCTTTTTGAGTTCTCATAAGAGAGACTTCCAAAATGTATTCTGATCAGGAATAGGAAGATGATCACTCTCCGTAGATGAGCAGGAATTCTCTGGACATAATTAAGCATCCTTTATACATGTGTTCACTGTGTGAGTCCATCCTCTATCCACTCAGTGACAATCTTTTCCTGAGGAAGTAAGACTTTTTTCTTGGCAATCATCTTTTCAGGCCAGCTTCAGCTTTCCCTAATTGATGTGCTGATGATTGGACACTAAGGCCATATTTTTCCATAGTATGGGACTGTGTTACAAATCACAACTTGGTCCTCAGCATATTGCCAAGATAAGACAGACACTCGAGCTGGGAAGGTGGCTCAGTGGTAGAGTGCTTGCCTTGCATGCATAAGGCCCTGGGTTGGATTCCTCAGCACCACATAAGCAGAAAAGGTCGGAAGTGGCGCTGTAGCTCAAGTGGTAGAGCACTAGCCTTGAGCTGAAGAGCTGAAGGAAAGCATCCAGGCCCAGAGATTAGGCCCCACAACCAGCAAAAAAAAAAGACAGACACTCAACTGAAGTAGCTTAAAAGACAGAATCAGATTTCGCTGTATCATGAGGAGAGGAGAGAGGAAACGAGTCTAGGAACTTAAAATCCAGCCGGTATTCTCTTTGTCTTGCCTCTCTCTCTTAGGATGTCAGCTCTATTCTCCAAGGCCAGTTTTTCCTATAGCTGTAGACAGCTTTAGGACACATTCTTGTATCTCTTTGACAAGAGAGAGAACAGTATACCCTAATTAGGAGGAAAATCATTGTCTTCTTGCCATATCAGTGGCCGTCCCTGTGGTCAGAGTGATAGCAGCTATGTGTGCATGACTTAGTTTGGGTCTCAGTGGTCATCTCCCACTGTGAGGGAAGGAGACGAGGCTCTGAGACTATGAACACATGAGTCCCCATAATCCAAATACCATTTGAACAAATACAGTGACCCGAGGGCCCTGATTTAGTCTTCTTGCATCCTACAAGGGAATGTCTATAAGCAATTAGGTTTCCATCGCTTCATTGGTAGACACCAATGATAGGTGACCCAGGCTGCTGGGGCTAAGAAGAAACATGTCCACTCATACAAATAGATCATCCTTCAGCCTCACAACAAGACATCAGAGCTCTGCTCGGACACAGGCCCTCCTACACGTTCACACATATGCTGTAGGTGCCAGGAGAGTTAGTTGCCATAGTTTCTTAAGATGGTTACACCATGCCCAAATTTGGAGTGCTGCGAAGTCACAGGTTTTTGCCACGTCTTCAGAGACAACCCCAAAGAACATCATTTCAGAACAAAAGCCAGCATCTTCTTGACAATGACATGAAAATGACTGAATCTGACATGTCTCTTTAGGATGAACTCAGAGGCTTAGCTGAAATCAGTTGGATAAAATTATAAGTATACGTACCCTAGGAGCAAGATGACTCAGTACATTGCAGGAAACGATGGTTTGATTTTCTTCTTTAGGACAAATGGGAGTGATGATGGCAACGCCAGGTAGTAATAAGTCATTTACCTGCCTCCCCCATCTTCACCCAGTGTTCCCTAGTGGCATTGTTATTGCTATCTGGGGATTTCCCCCTTATTTTGATGAATCAAACCTTAAAAAAAAAAGCATTTAAAGCTTTTTCTTGAAGAAAAGGCACATTTATTTCCTTTTGAGCTTATTCGTTTACTAATACGTCTTCAAACACAAGCATTGCTCTCCCCAGACATGTTAAGCAAGACACAGCTGCGCTTTGGTAGTTTGAGCACAAAGGGTGTTTCGTCTTCTGGCACGTGGTCTTTGTTCACATAAGCCAAAATGGGGCAAAACAAGAAGAACACTAGTTTATAAAAGGAAATAGGCAGGCTGCCATCAGCAAGATAAGCATCAATTGTTCAAGAAAATATGTGTGGGAACTTGGGATTCTATCCAGCTCATCCACATCCTTTTACCTTCCTTATGGTGGTAGTTTTGATTATTTTGTCAGGGTTTCCTGCCCCCTCAGAGTTGATCTTTGCTTGTAACAGGGCTATGACCCCTTGGTTTGTTCGTCTTCACCTGAGGTAGGGTGTGTTCCTTGACCTAGAAGAAGAAAAGCCTGGCTGCCTGTCTAGGACTTCCATGTACATTCAGTTCTGTACCCAAGGCTAGGGGCCCAAGGCGGACACAGGATTATAAATGTCAGTGAGGCTGACAAGAAAGGAAGCCTAATGTCTGGTCCCAACAAAACCCGTTTACTTGGAAAGAAGATATTTGCATGTAATAAAGGAAACAAAGTATTCAACAGAGAAGAGAGACACTTCATGCTCATACTCAGTGTGAAGTTCTTAGTTCCTTTTCACTCTTAGCTTATCCTAAATTATAGGAAAATGCGTTTTCAATAAGCTAAGAAGAAAAGGGAAAATGTGGATAATGTTAACTTTTCATATGGTTATCCTAAAGAGAAATATTAAACATTTCTTATTCTATCCGGAGATAGACTTCATTAAATGATGCTTTGTTGAATCAAAACTTTGATCATAAATATCAGCCTTCGGAGACTTTTCTGGTTAGCATGCCAGAAAAGACTGACTCAATAGTAGATTCATTTTCTGTAAACCCTGAGGATTGGGGAAAATGAAGGAGAAAATTGAGTCTTGACAATTAAGGCCAAATGATTTTGAACTTCAGCATCCAGCTAATGTTCTGAGTGTATGCTAGGAGGGTAGGCTGCTGTATAGCTTTCTTTAGTCAATACAGATTAGTTTAAGCTCAAAAATAAATCAAACAAGCCCAGCATGACTCAATTGTGTGAAGCTACACAGATGAAAGATTTCAAACAAAAATGGCTAGCCAGTGGTGGTTCTCTAATTCTAGCTATTCCAGAAGCTGAGATCTGAGAATCATGGTTCAGGAGCCAATCATGACTGACAAATCCCAGAGACTCTAACCAACAAAAATCTGGATGTAGAAGTGTGTCTTGAGTGGTAGAATACTAGCCACAAAAGCCAAGCTAGAGTTCAAGGCCTTGATTTGAAGCCTCGGTATCACTGTGTGCTCAGGGGCACCAGTGCACATGTGTACACACACACAGAGGTATCGTGGAACTTATAAAATGCTAAACATGATTTTTGTTTAAAGAACAGAGAAACGCGGGCTTGTTATTGCACTCCTTGGATTGATTTTATTTTTAATGTTCGAAATTTTACAACACTGCTTTTATATTATTTCATGTCCTTTATCAAAACAGCTTTCCCAAATTTTCTTGGCCATTTAGCCAAATCTTGTCTCCACCTCCAGCCTTCTTACTTTATCTCTAGTCACTCTTTTCACCACACCACAGCACTTAACCTACCTCCTATTGTACATCTTTCCCTGACTCATCAAAAGATGATAAATGACCTTTTGTTTACCAAATAAAATTTCAATTATTCCCATTTTAATCATTTGGTTCCACTCTATTTTATTCCAAAGCCATAGCTCCACCTCAGAACTTTAGAATGTAAGTTCTTCATTATTATGAAACCCTTATGGATTTACTTATTGTGCTAAAAATAGAAACGGGATATTTCATTTTTCTTATTTGCATTGAAGCTGTTCTTTGAATTTCTTTACTTTCATAGAATTCCATCATAGAATTTTTTCCATTTTTTTAGTGACAACCAGGAAGAGGAAAATTTTTCATTATGGTCTAAATTAATCCATCTCTACTATTCTTTCAATTGTTTAAGTGAAACTAAAAATATGCTTATAAGACATCATTTATTTCTAATCTTTAAGCTATTGTTTGCTATTTTAGCTGTTTGCTATTGTACATGGTCTAGCCAAGAATTCCACTTTCCTTAATTGGTTTGACTGCTAATTGTAGCCAAAAGTACAAATAGGATTACTAAATAGAAATTATTTTAATACTCGAGGACACCTAAATACCTTTTCAGAGGGTATTTTCTTAGTATAACCGGTAAGTTGTTTGAAATGAAATAAATTATAATTTCAACTGTAGTCAACAACAGAATGGATGATAAGTTAGTCATAAGCAGAGATAAAATAGAATACAAGTGAGAAATTTTGGAAACTCACTATTGAAATTCAAAACTTGTAATGTTTGGCACACTAGTCCACATACTCTTATAAAGACCCACAACTAGCAGAGTGAAACAAAGAATTGAGGCAATTATCTATATGATTCAGACAAAAAAGAAATCTGCATCCAAACCCAAACCGTTTTGCCTAAATAATCTTGAGTTTGAATATTTTTTTTGCCTGAATTTTCATTTGTCTCAGTTTGCTGTTTCATTTTGTTAGGCTAGAGAGCTGAAGTGAAAATTATCTTCGTGAAAATTTTCAACTTGGATTGTGCCTGGTGCCTTTGGATTTTTTTTTTAATATATACTTGAAAGCTAACTTATCAGACGTTCTTCAAGCTGATGGCCCTTGAAAGTTTTGCATTTTTTTTCTGAAGCAATATAAAAAATGCTTATGGTGTGTATGCAAGCTGCTGTTTTAATTAACTTTCCTGAATTTCAAACATCTATATTTTACTCTCTTATATGCTTTTAACTAAGGTATAGTAGATGCATTTTTGCTTCAATACTAATTTAAAGGTGTAATATTCATTTCTTTAGAGAACATTTTTGTTGTTGTGCATGCCTAGTGTTTTGTACGTTGTATATTGCATTCAGAATATTTTTTTCCTTCTCACCTATCCACAATGCAATGCCGTTCCCATGATGCACCTCTGCTTGCTGTTTACCTGTATGTTAATTCGCTTGAATCCCATTGGCCCACTGCCATCATGTGCTCGCTGCCTGTTATTAAAAGACTCAGTCGACTGCCAAAGCAATGAAGCGACCTCTCGAAGCAACTGTAGACCTGGTACTTTGACCTTTCACCTTTCGCTTTGCATGTAGCTTTTCAGAGAACCATCTGAGATTTGTTTTTACTTGTAAGATACTGGTTGCAGCCAATCATGATTATTAATTTAAAATGGAAAAATTTCAATAAGGTGTTTAGCCATTTCGTTTGCACATGTAATCTGTGAAATAAAATTGACCCTAACAAATTTTAATACCTTTTCCAAAAGAGTGAAGCAAACTTAAATTCCTTGGCTCAGAAAAAGGCTCATTATAATCCTTATTAACCTTAACAGTCAAGAAATCGTCATTGAGTAAAAGTAAAGAATAGGTATTAATAATAACACAGTGCTTTTTTTCTTCCCCCACCCCTTCCCATTAGAATAGCTGAACCCATTTAAAAAGCTGAAGCCATTTTTGTTTTCGTTGTTGTTGCTTGATAGTTTTTTTTTTTCTTTTCCTTAGTTGAGATGCTACCGTTTTTTGGGTTACAGAAATCATGCTTTTGCTCTCAATAACAAATTCTCACTCATTCGACATTGCCGCTGTTTAAATTAAGGTGCATGGCATAAGCATCTCCTTAGCTATCATTTAAAACGTAAAGAAAGAAAGAATATTGTCCTTGATGATCTGTGTAGACACGGAAGATGTGTTTGCTTTAAGTTAGACATGTCTTATTGACTTCTTCCTTTCTAGGCCTTTCCTCCTGGTGCTCTTCATCCTTTACCAAAGAGACAAGCACTTGAAAAAAGCAACGGTGCCAGCACGGTATTTAATCCCAGTGTCTTACACTACCAGCAGGCTCTGACAAGCGCCCAGCTGCAGCAGCACGCCGCGTTCATCCCCACAGGTATGTGCCCTGACCGTCCACGTCTGCGTCCTTCTGTCCTTCTGGTCATGTGCTTTCTTCTCATCTCTTTAAGCTGTTTGGCGGCCTCTAGTTTTGCATCTAATGGTGCAATACCGCCTCAACGTTATCATTGTCTAGATATATCTAAAGATTTTGACCCTGCCTTGATAGCTGAAAGTTGTTAGGATTCTAAAGCCAAATATCTGATCGAACTGAGTGATAGATTTAACCAGGAGCAACAGAGAACACGTAGGGGCTTCTGCTTTCTTAAGCCCTTGTTAAATTGTTTCTGTCAATAAGACCTTTTATGTGTGACCATTGAAATTTTCCCTTAACACTGAATGACCTAAAAATAGCAATTCTAGTAAATACTAACCACTTTTTTTTCTCTTTCTATTCAGTGCGCTAAAAAATAATGAGGCTATTCAAAGTAAAGCAATCCTCTACTCATATTTTTTATATCCATGCTCTCTCTCTTTCTCGCTCTCTCCATGCTTCTCAACATTCACCAAGTTCACAAATTTTATAGAGAGATATGAGTCCTTATCCTCCATTTGCGAGCCAATATCTAAGGATATGAGGTGCTACTGTGCATTATTTTACCATTCCACTAAGATGTCAATCATGTTTATCATAAAATCTCAGAGTTTAAAGTGGTCTCCGTGATCTCTTCATCCGGTTGACTGTTTTACAGATGAGAAAACTGAGGCCCCCCTATGAAAAGTGGCTTTCCAAGGTAACAAGAAAAAATTGTAGAACCTCAGTCCCCTAGACCTTGTCCAATAGACACACCCAGCAGCCCCCTAGCATCCAAATACAAGATTCCAAAGGGCTCTCCAAAAAAATAAAAACAGCCTAAAGTAAATCTTTAAAAAAAAATAGCATAATAGATAAGATACATAAGGTTAAAAAAAAACAAAACACATTGTGTGCCAACGCTACCCAAGCTTTTATTTAATTTCCCTGCTACAGACACAGACACTCCAAACATACACATTACACAGACAGCTCAAACAGCCCGTGATTTTCATCTTAAGTCTGAAGTTAGAAGCAGGGTATGATTTCATCTCCCATTTGTTGAGTTTAGGGGTTCAAAACAGAAGTCCTTCATTCCATGATAGTAAATGGAAGATGAATATGCATCAGTAACAAGTTCACTAAAAAGAATTTAACTGATCCTTGTTTGTAGGATTGGACTTTCCTCTTTTGTCACTCATTTTCTTGAATTCCAAAGCATATTAGAAGTTGTTTTTTAATCAGAGGTAGAAAAATACTTTGTAATATCCTTTACTACAATGTCTATACTTTAAAAAAATCTAATAACATATAAACAATTGTACTTATAACAAAAATATAAGAGCAAAATAAGTTTTAGGATTTATTTCTCTTAATTGATTTCTGTACCTATCTTTAATTCGTAGACCTGCAGAGAAATCTCTTAATTCAGCATCTATCAGCACTTGACTCTAACACTATGACAGCTTAGTTAATGACCACTCAAATAACATAGCAGTATCAATAATTGTAACCGAATTGAAATAATACCATCATATAACAATTACTGGAAAATTAGTTTACCCACAAAGTCCTGTACGGTTTCTATAAATGTCTCATAGGCCTTGTGGCCAGTAGACATTTTAAAAGGGAAAAAATGACTCAGAGAAAAAACATAAAAGATGACTGTGTTCCTGAAGAATGGGAAATAAAGCCATTACCATCTTGGGAATATCTGAGACCCTGGAGCTAAGCCTTTGCTAGACTTCCAAGCCCTTAATTACATATGCCATACTCTAATCCAATAATAACAGATTAAAGGAGTTATTGAAAGAATTCACCTTTTGAGATATTTCACCTGCACACCACTTAAATGTTTCCAAAAGAAGAGAGAATGACACCCCTACCACAATAACTGATTGCCTTTCAGGTATTGGGTGCGGTGGTTGTGTACTTCCGCCCTCTGGTGGATTCTGTAGGAACAGCTCAGATGTGTCAGCAACCCTCATCCAAAGGACTTAGGAGCCAAAGGGTGGGACCCAGCCCACATAATGCCGTGAATTAGAAGACTCCATTTGTTGCATAATATTAAGATCATAGTGAAAAGAGATGTGGATCTCCTGTTTTGGAGTGTTCTTTCTGCTTCTAAGAAATATCCATGTTTCTCTCAAATGATGAAAGAGAGCAAACTTTATTAAAAATAGCATATGCTTTTCTCCCACCTTTAATCCACAGCAGAAATTTCAGTGTGTATAGTAGGGCAAAAGTTTTTATTTTAGGGTTTCCTTATGAACCACATTTTGTACCTCATTTTAAAAGTGATCATGATGACACATGTTCATCGTTAATCCAGGTTTTTTAACCTCTGCAAATTAAGTGGTGATGTTCAGAAGAGTAATTTGTATAACGGAGCAGATAGCAGTCCCCTTATTATTAAGCGGACAAATAAATATGAAGTAAAAACATTTTTTTGTTTCCTAGAGGTTACCCTTTATGGAAAAGATATTCATAATATATCTTTTAATGTGCTACTAAAATTCTCCCATTCACACAATGTGGCTTTGCATTTTCAGGAATTCTACCTCCCGGCTGTAAAGATATTAACATAAAATATCACACAAAAATATGAAATTCTTCTCCAAAAACCATACTAAGATAATTATCACCCTGGTTGATGTCCTAGCACATTTTCAGTGGGTGGGATTTTTTTTCCTCCTTTTGATAGGGATTATTTTAACGAAGTAGTTATACTTTTTCTTTGCTATGTTAAGAAAGTGACAAAACCACACATAGTTACCAAAATAGCACCATCATGATTCTTGGCACTTCTCTGACAGGTTTATTCTGAGTTCCTGGAAGTGATCTTATAGATCTATTATCTATTTTTATTCAAGATGCTACTGTTCTATTAGTGGCAAACAATTATTTGCCTTTTGCAGATGGAAAAATTGAGGCTGTGTTTACTTTACAAAGTGGTATAACAATTATCCGGATAATCCTGGTTGACCATGATTACAAACTAACTACTTTGTGCAGTGGAAGAAGAAAATATCTGAGAATGTTTGTTTATAAAATTAACACCCTAGTGATAGGCTTCAGCTGGTCAGAAAAAAAAGGTGACCACCAGAACCCTTCCTTGAGTCATCAGAACATTATATGGAGCACAAGATAAACCACACAAGAGAGAAAACGTGCTACCTAATCACTGCCCATGTTGAGAAACCATAAATGATCCTTAAGGTTTCCATGTAACTTGTGTCCATGTTGGGTAGAAACTGTCCACATAAAATAATCAACTATCCAGGCACTGTAATCCTAACAACTGAAGAAGCTGAAATAGGAAGACTGAGATTCAAAGCCAGCCTGGGCAGACATATCTGAGAGATTCTTATTTCCAGTTAACTAGCAAAAAGCTGTAGGTGAGGTGTGGCTTAAGTGGTAGAGGACCAGCTCTGAACAGAAAAGCTAAAGCAAGAATGCAAGGCTAAGTTCAAGCCCCGGTACCAACACACATTACACACACACACACACACACATGCACACGCACACACACACACGCACACATACACGCACGTTATTCATTGCATTCCATACAGCAAACATTTCCTGGACACATGAAATGTTCTGGGTTTGAGAGCTGGTGGTGAGAATGCAAAGGAGCTCAGACCTAGGTTAAAACCAAATATAAGGCACAGCACGCAGAATGAACCAAGGGACTGAGCATAGCTCTTGGAGAAGGAGGTGATACGTTCTGCCTTCCGCACACACGGTGGGTGGTGATACAAAGCATATGGAGGAAGAAGACTTTCTGAAGCTGGAGACATTTACTGACTTTGAAAGAGAAGTGAGCTTTTATCGTTGGTTGGGGGTGGGGGAAGAGCCTCTCAGGCAGAGAAGGGAGGGGTGTGCTTACAGAAAAGAGTGTTGCCCACCATATGGTACCATAGTGCCAGGTACTCACAGGGTCTTGGGAAGAGCGGAGAGGAGCAGTTAGGTGAAAAGGCTGAGCCCTGAAAAGAAAAGCAAGCCCATTGGGTAAGAGAGCCAACCTGGTGGCAAAGGCAGCGTATTTCCAATGTGCACACCCCTCTTGGGCGGCCACAGGAGAGTCTTGTTGAGTTCATTTGGTTGAGCAGATCCAAGACTGAAGCCTGAGAGATGCGGCTGATAGCTCTACTAGCAAGTTGACTGGGAAGCAGCTCTCCATCCTTAGCATCCCTCTGACCCTCACTTCCCCATACATCTCAGGAATGCCTTCCCCGGGAGGGAGGCTTGTCCACAGACACTGTCAGAGAATCCAAGGGGGAAAGGGGGTGACATAGGGGCCTGAGGAGTAGGTAAAGGAATAGTGGAGAAGATTCCTGAAGACATGGCATGTACCTCGAGGCCTGAGAAGCGACAGGGAGTAAGGATTCTTCTGCAGAGAGCAGAGAGCTTGTAGGAGGCTCGCATGGAACAAAGTGGAATGTGCAATGATAAGGCTAAGCTATGCAGATCCTGGTTCCAGGACAGCCTGGGAGAGAGGCAGAGCCTGGACCCCAAGTAGCTTCATCTCAAAAGCAGTAGTGGCCATTAATTGTTCCCCAGAAGAGCAGTAGCCAGGCCTGCAAAAGCTGGAGGGTGATGCATAGCTGAGATTAGAGATAATGGAGGTTAGGACCGGGAAAAGTGGCAGAGGTGATCAGCGAACAGAGGCAAACTGCATTTCAGAGGCACGATTGCTTTGACTTGTTGGTGAGTTGGCTGCGGGGAAGGGGAGTATCACTAGGGGAAGTGGCACAGGTGTGACATTCTCTTCAGGCTACAGTTCCACAGGGATAAAGGGATGCAGATGATCTCTGAGGTAGAGAAAGAGACTTGAAAACACTTAGGTTGACACCTGTTCAGTTGGAGACAAGTGTGAGAGCCAAGTAACAAGGACAAGAGCAATGTTGTGATTGGATCTGGCGCTCAGAGAAGAAATCTGAGCAGAACACAGTGTGGATGTCATGAGTTCATTGACGATCTGGCGCTCAGAGAGGAAATCTGAGCAGAACACAGTGTGGACGTCATGAGGTCATTGACGCTCTTTAAATACATAGGTGGAAGAGTACCCAGGATTGACATATCAAAGTAGATGGGAACAAAAAGACCAAGAACTGAGGAAAGCTCCCGAAGACAGAGATAGAGATTTGAGGGAATACAGAAAGAGGACATTGGCAGAAAGAGAAAAAAAAAAGTGTGGGAGGGCTGAGAGTGTATGGGGAAGTAAGTGTGTGTGTGTGTGTGTGTGTATGTGTGTGTGTGTGTGTGTGAGAGAGAGAGAGAGAGAGATTAAGCCTGTGAGGGAAGAATGGTTTGTCATGGAGAGAGGAGGGAGTGGCCAGATAGAATGCGATCCTGAGACTCCAGAACAAGTAGGTGCTGGTATAAGACTTTCTCCTGCTCAACCATTCGGAGTCCACTGATGATAGACATTCTTAGTTTGCGCAGAGAGGAGAGGAGATAGTTTAGGTAGAGTAAAACCAAATTGGATAGGACTGAAGAATAAATGGGGACCAGGGAAGTGAAAAAGTGGGTGTAGATCACTTTCTAGAAGCTCAGTTGGAAAGATTAGAGCAATTGACTGGAGGGAAAAATGGTGTCATGGAAAGGATTTTTTGAGTGAGTGAGTGTGTGTGTGGGAGAGAGAGAGAGAGAGATTGAGAGAGAGAGAAAGTTATCTATACAGGCACATTGAAGAACCCTGTAGGAATCCCTTTTTCTGATGCAGATGTTAGCTGGGTTTGGCATGGTGAGCTTAGCGAAGAGAGTAATGGTGTCTACAGCTCAGATTCTTCATAAAAAATAACCTCTGTGTCACCTGTGTAACATTCAGTCTCCAGTTAATCAAATTCACATTGCCTGGTTTTCATCCCAAGGAACAGAAGAACCCTGAGCATATAATTCCTCAAAGTTTTCTATGCAGTTCTAAACAGCCATCCCAAACATGCCTGCCTATCATGGCCCAAGTTTTGTGATTCATGCCCATTAATAAGACCACCCGAGGTAAAGCAGCTCTTCCTTAGGAAGGAAAGAACAACCCCCCGCTTCTGTCCATTACCCCCTTAGACTTTAGACTTGCCAAAATCCTTCTTCCAGGGTCACCTTGATGTGACCTTGACAAAAATGAAACCTCTTTGGGTTCTCCTTCAGTCCTAGTTCTACACAACTTTGATTTGGAAGATATGAAATCTTGATTGCAGTTCTTTTCATACTGATGTTGACACAAAATATTTTATCATCAATCCATCAAGCCAACAACTTGAATGCAGCAAGTCCAGTATAAATGTAGTGCTCCTAAAACCCGGCCAGGATTTGGGAATGGAGTTCGATTTCTAGTCTTACCCTTGATTCACACTAGTCATGACTTTGCCAGGAGTTTCTATGCCTCAGATTTTTCATCTGTAAAATTCCCACTTCCTACCTTGGAGGATTAATTTGATCATATCTGTAAAATACTTTGAAGTCATAGAGGAAGGAGGCTACAACATTATCACATGTCATTCTTGTTAGACTCATGTTGATGTATATATGACTAGCAAGTGTGAAAAAGTAGTTGTAAGTGTGAGCTTGGGAGATGATTGGCTTACAACAAGTCAGCTGTATCTGTGTCTGTACTGACAATGTGAACAGCCCTTTACAAACTGTGTTAACTAACCCTACTTATTTCTGGTTGCGCTTCAATCTCACTTTTGAATGTTAACTCTAAACCGCTAACCTGTTTCTTTCCCTTTATCCACTTTTTCCACCCACCATTGCATGACGTCAGGGTCAGTTTTGTGCATGACACCCGCTACCAGTATTGGTAGGTTTCAAACTTTTTTTATTTGTATTTTTATATGATGTCTTTTATATAATACTTTCACTTGTTTGACATTTATTTCAGAGATGGTAAAAAAAAATGTTTGAGGAAGAAGAAGTAGTAAATCTGAAGGCTTATTTGGCTTTAGAGTTAACAGGTTTTTTTTAAGATGTATAATTAAGAAAATGATGGTTTTAATGTGCTCTTTTGTGCTAGAACAATCGTTACCAAGACATAAAGCCACAGTTCAAGTCTGATTTTTAATGATTTGTGTTTTGTTTCTCTTTATAGTTTATCTGGTATAGCATAAGGAAAACAGACAGGAGGCAGGCTAATTTCATCAATGTTTTAAAGTTTCATAGTGGTGTGCCTTTATCTCCTCTTGCTTGTCTTAGAGTTATCAGAGTTTCCCAGAAGTATTTCTTTAAAATAAATAAATATATACATACATATACATACATGGATGTATTTTGAAACTAAATGTCAGACCTACCTTTCTTAGCTTTTATAAGTGTTAGCTCATTTGTGATTATCTTTGTACCTGCTCATTCTTTTTGATGTTAAACAGTCCTCAGTATAATAGTTCTTCAGTCTGTCTTTAGGACATATGGATTGATTCTAGCTAGAGTCCAGAAAAGCAAATATTGACAGAATTTGTCTGACTATTTCAGAGTGACTGTGTTAGAATTTACATCAAGGCCGTAGTTTTTGCTTTGCTGTTTATTGATCAAAATAAAACACAATCCCCAGAGATTCCTGTTTACATAAAAGATCCCAAATTGAAAAGGAAAATGTTCGATTTGACCAGAGTTAACCAAGATGTTCCAAAGAACATCTTATCCCAAATTAAACTTACATATCGGGCCTTTGATGTCTTAGAATTTATGATTATTCTATACTTAATTGTCATCTATTCTCACTTGATTGGATATTGCCCGTGAGATTTTTTTTTTAGAAACAACCATTATTATATTTACTATATGCTGAATTGGGAATGGTTCTATTGTTAGAAAGAAATTGTTAATAAATCCATCAACCAAAGTAATCTGCTTTGGCCTTTCTGGGAATCACTGATTATGTTTTAAAACTTCCTTTAATTGTACTTGTAATAAGCTATTTTCCCTTTTTTATTTCTCTCCCATGCTTCCTTGCTTTGCATTGTGATTGCATGCCATCTGCTGGTTTAACCCATGATGGCTTGCTGCTCTGATATTCACCATGCCAAATACCACTTCTATTACCATAATGCTACACCCTCCTGTTCATTGCTCCCATGGTTCCCCTCCTGAAAGTACCCATGATGCACAGCGCTACGTCCGCCACTGTCTCTGCAGCAACAACTCCTGCAACAAGTGTCCCCTTCGCAGCAACAGCCACAGCCAATCAGGTTTGCTCCTTTTAAAGCTTTCTTTCACAAATCCCGAACTCTAAATGAGTGCTGATATTTAAAAAAAAAATTCTCAGTGAGAGAATTTTTTTTTCATGTTTATCCATCAAATTTTATTTTTTTAATTAGTTTTATAGCAAGCATTTACAGACAGGTTGCACTTATTTAGAGTTAACATTTACTGCAAATAATGATGTAGCTATGTTTTGTGTTGCACTGTTTGTTTTCGTACCTAATATTGTGTAATTAACCTGACAGGCTTAAATTCCTTTTAGTACAGCGTTACTTATCCAGTGGTTGATGAGTGACCCCATAAAAATGCGAAGGCACCTGTCGGTGTTCGACGGTTGAGTCTAGTTTGCTTCGGTTCATTCAGACCTTATGATCTGTGTTGGAGGAAGAAATCATCTCTTAGAAAAATCTCCTCGGGCTGGGAAGGTGGCTCAGTGGTAGAGCGCTTGCCTTGCACGCCTGAGGCCCTGGGTTCAATTCCTCAGCACCACATAAGCAAAAAGAAAAAAGCCGGAAGTGGCGCTGTGGCTCAAGTGGTAGAGCGCTAGCCTTGAGCTGAAGAGCTGAGGGACAGTGCCCAGGCCCAGAGTTCAGGCCCACGATTGGACTCCCCCAAAAAAAAAGAAAGTAGAAAAGTCTCCTCCCTTCCTTCTAAGTATAAAATCTGAGGTCCCAATAATGCTTATTAATTTGACATTGATCATAGGTGCTACCAAACTCACTTAGCCCCCACTGGACAATCTGCCCAGAATCCTGGCATAAGAGCCATACATCCTGGAAGGAGAAAAGAAGTGTACCACTGGGTTCACGAGCTGGATGTAAAGAATTAGGAGAGTTTAACTCTGTGGGTTTAATGCATGTTCCCATACCACCTTGGCTTGTGACACTAACTAGTGAGAGCCAGCGACTGTTACAGCCACACACTTTGACTGTGCCCTTGACCTCAGCAGTCAACGTAGACACATGCGTTCCTGGTAAAAGGATCTGTACATTGAGTGTGATGATGGAGAATCAATCCTCCCTTCACCTAGAAAACCATCTTCTAGTACATACCTTCCCTTCAGGAAAGAGCAATTATGTGGGGGGGTGGAGGGGGTTGTTTGGTTTAGTTTTGAATTTTGTTTGTGTTTTGTAATAAAAATTATCCATGGTGCTAATACAAGATGAAAAAGAATCTAGGAAGGCAAGGCTGATAGGAAAAATGGTAAGTTGGGCATTGGGGGATAGCAGGTTGGCATAAATGGCATCTGGCTTCCTGCAGGCTGGCAGGGCTGACTCACACTCAAGCCTTGGGAGGCTCTAGGCTTCCTCACTGAAATGAGAGGTGTGAATGCATTGCGTGGCAGGAAGGAAAATGAACCTCCTGGACAATTCCAACCGTGTCTGCCACATCGTGATAAGGCAGGAAGGAGCAAGGAGTGGACTGCACAGAAGCCATGTAAACTATGTGTTTGCAGTTCTTCTGATCATCATCTTACACCCGGTCCCCTAATGGGGACCACAAAGAGAGGCCAGCAAGTTCCTACCTGGGAAAATTGATTTCTCTTTAAACCATAGGATGGCAGAAGGGAAAGAGGCTGTCTGTATCCTCCCAGCATTGGATTCAAAACACCTCTTCTCACTCACTCAACCTTTTTGATGGGTCCCAAGGCCCGATGCTTGTTAAACAAGCACTCTCCCACCAGAACTATAGCCCAAGCCCTTTGGTTCCTTGGCATTTTGTTTTTAAGACAGGATCTCCCTAACAACATCTGAGCTAGCCTTGAACTGGAGACCTCCTGTCTCTGCCTCCTGAGTAGCTGGGATTACAAGGTATGCAACTCCATGCCCAGAACACTTCTTTGTTCTTTTAAGGGATGATGGCTATCTGCTAAGTCTATATCCTGCCCCCTCCAACCATGCTTATGTGATATTTTTTAAAATCTGATTTCTTCATAGAAAAAAAAGTTCAAAAAATAATATGATATCAAAATTTCCCCTATACTTCGTAGCAAGTTGCATATTTCCAGTGTTCAGAGATCTTCTCTAAGAAAGGGAAGGAAGCTTTGGAGTTTCAAAGCAATGTCATTTGTATTTTTTCTGTCTAGTGATTGTTTGGCACCATTTGATAAGGGAGAAAAAGTCGGGATTGTAAACAAACACAGGATTTTGTCTGTGTGGAAAGAGGCAAGAAATAGGAAGTCTGACTATTTAGAAACTAAATCATATCATTGTAACTTGGGTATGATCAGGAAAGGAACTAATAAGCCTAACTTTAATTTTATCCCAACAACTGTAATTAAAGAAATACATAACTAGCTTAATGAATCCTAGATTCTGTGCTTTACGGTTTGTCAGAGGCAATAGTTGGTACTGTATTGCATGTTGTTATAAAACAAAATCCTAAAGCAATACTTGATAAAGGTCTGCTTACACAGAAAGGTAAATCATTTAACCATAGGTTTTCAGATATGACTTTTTTTAATGTGTTTTCAACAAGTCTCCTATCATCTACAGAAGAGCTTGGGAATTATTTTAGCATCTAAGCATAAGAAACTCCGAGATTTGCTAATGATTGTGAAATAAAAATCCAGTTTAAGATGTCAACTCAACTGGAATGAGGAATCTTGGCTTGTGAATCTCAGTTGTGATAGGAGGAAGAGATCCTCATGACCTCTGAGATTTGTGCCTCTTACACAAGCCTGAAAAGTGGCCTGGTCAGAAGGGTGACACAGGCAGGACGGAGAGTGGAGGAAACACTGAGGCTGTAGAACGCTAAGCATTCTGCCTTCTCATCTTTAGCACAAAATACAGCTGGTTTTGACCCTCCCTCCTCCCCCTTTTTTAGTTAATTTTTTCAATCAGACTATCCATTCAAATATTTCAGATCTCAGAGGCAATTTGTAATTAGATACGTCATTCATAAGAGGAAGAAGGTGAACTGAAGCTTCTCAGGGCTTCTCATGATAGCTTCTCTGGTCCAGAGTGTTTTTAGTTTACCACGTGGAGAATCGCACATAGCACACAGCCAACGCATACATTTTATCCTCAGGATGAACCACCAATAAAAGTTTGCATGGATCTTTTTGTAGAGCAGAAGCTTAAAATTAAATGGAATCTAAACATGGGAAAAATGTTTTTAAAACCTGGGAATTATCTAGGAATAGATAGATAGACAAAAATACAACTTCCTATTTTTGATTTCCTATTTCCATTTTCCTATTGCAAGGTCTTTGAGCCTTAATATACAAACTATATCTAGTAATAATATAATAATACAAACCACTCGCTATATGTCAGGTATGACTAGAAAAGCTCTCTTGTGTATTACATATTATATGTCAGATATTCAACTCTACTATATATATGAAAGGCTATGTATGCATAAATACATAGATTCTTATTTAGTCCTTATAGTAGTTTAGGCTCTGTGTTCATCATCCCCATTTTATGGATGGCAAAACTTCAACAAGTGTAACTGCATGAACCAAAGTTGCATAGCTATTAAATAGTCCTGCTAGAGTTTAAACCCAGGCAGTTTGGCCACAAAGCCTTGGTGTTAACACCCAGAGTGTGCTCTTCCTCTACAATTAGAAACACTCAAAATAAAACTATCTATTGAGGGAGACTCAAAACAAACAAATTCCATTGCTAGAGGAGAAAATGAAAAAGTCTTGCTAATACAGGTCAAGCCAAGAAGGGGCCTTAATTGGGAAATTGAACTCTCAGCTAGTTATAGAACAGGGAGCTCATGTTTAGGAACTCCATAGTTGAACTTCTTGATTCTTTGTGGTACTATAATCAGTGGGAATTTTTTATTTCTAACAGAAGGTTTAGCCATCGGTCTTAAGCAGGTCTGTAGGTACCTTTTGTCACAGTCTCTGTTTCTAACCTCTGTTAAATCTCCAAGTACCTTGGTAAACAAGCAAACTCAGAAAAGAAAATAATGTCAACCTGACAGTTAGTAGGTTCAATCCCACTAAAAGGACCAGAATTCACAAATTTGTTGACGTCCCTATAGTGATAAATTTTGAGTAGACAGTAAAGTGATAGAGATATTTGGCTTAGTATATGGATTATCTAGATATTTTCCATGCTACAAGAAATGTTATTTAATAAAAAAGGGTGCATATAAAATTTCTATAACCTGACTGGTTACAGACCTCTATGGTATAATTGTTTTTTTAAATTATGCAAAGATACCTTTTATTCTTTCATAAGGAGAGAGGATATTTCTGAATAAGTATAATTTGTATTTTAGCTTCTTTACTTATACATGGGTATTATTTAGTTCACTTAATTACGTCCTTCAAGGCCCAATTCAAATACAATTTTTACTGAGTCCTCCCTGCTGAAAGTTCTTCATCTGTCCTGTGAATTTTACAAGGATTTTGTCTGCTTTCCCCTTAGGGTACCTTCAGTAGGTAGAAAGTCAACTTCAAGTGTACAAAAATGGAGGAGCATAAAGTTTATCTGGAGAAGAACCAACAACCTGAGCAATCAGAACCTCTGTTTGTGGAAATAGCTCTGAGTTACTAACTCCTAGTTGAGCAGGGTCTTAATGCCAGGCTAAAGGATTCTGTCACTAATGGGAAACCTAGGAATACTGAGCAGAGAGATTGGAGGAGAGCATCTGCAGGAACCATAAAGCATCTACACTGGCACCAGGGCCATCAGCAAGTAGCCTGTTGGTCTCACCATTTCCCGTTACTTTGGGAATGTTACTTTTAGCCAAACAGAAATATAAAATCATTGTGTACTACAGCAAAACCTGTCCCAAATCAGCATCAGGTGACAGAAAGATACATGTGGGCTGATGTGAATGGTTAGGGAACTTGCCTCTTGGGACTTGTTGACCCGCACTTAGCCAAGTCTCCAAGAAGTGCTACCTCATGGTTACCAGTAGCAGGTATAAGGCCTCCACAAGTGAGACTTCCTCTAAAGATTTAGTCCCTTCAACAGAGTTGACCTTCCAGAGAGTTCTTTGGAAAGTCATTGGAATATAAGAC